GATTTGGAAACAAGGATAATGCGGAGTTTCTCTGTTGATTCCACTGGAGGTATGAGGGAAGAGCTGAGGCAGCTCACTCTTGTCACCTCTTTAACCCTTTCTCAAAACTCAAGAGATGGCTCTGGCCACATATGCAAGTACAGCTGTGAGAAGCAGTCACTGCTGCCCAGTTCAGACAGACAGGCAGACACTCGAGTTTACTCAGGGTGGTTTTAGGTGCAGGAATAAAGCGAACTGCAAATATTTGACAGAATCTCAACATTAAATTTGTGGCTTCTCAAGAGTTTTTCTTCCTATGTGCATTCATGCAGCATAACGTCAGTCTTGACTTTCCAAAGTCTCCAGAAAATGGTAGCATGTATCCAAAAAAAAGGCTATGAGCCAGAATCCTTTGGCTAGGTCCTGACTGACTACATTTGTCCTCAAAGAAAGCTGACAAAAGAGAGCAGAAAAGTGCAAGAGGGATGGATTTTTCTAAAAATAGTGTTCGAGTCCAATTCCCTTCAGTTTACAACAGAAAACATAGTCTTGTTTCCATGCTAAGAACTCTGAATTTGCAAAATTGTGCTGGTCTTCAGACAAGATCCATGATCAAGGAGCTGCAGCCACCAATGCAGTATTGACCCAAGTTTCTGCATCAAGCAACGTATTACCGGGGCAGCCCTCAGCAGCGCAACTTCACCTGCAAGGCTGGAGCTGTTCTTTACTATCTTCAGCCTTAACCAGCTTCCATAGCATCACTGAAAGTATTCAGTCTTCCCTTAACAATTCTGTAACTACTCCTTTAGCTTGAGAGTAGAATTGCCAAGAACTTTACAATTTTTCTATTTCTGTTTCCAAATACATCAATGCAGCTGCCTAGTATGACATCTTCTGTCATACTTTGCAAGATCATTTTGGAAGGAAGGTCTAGCTGGCCTAGCTTTTCCTTAAAGCAATGTGTTTAATGGCAGTTATAAATCTGGTGTTATATAAGTAATGAAAGGAAAACAAGGAATAAAAGAAAACCACAGCTTTAAATTGGAAATGCCTCAGGTCTGGTGCTTAGTCCCATCAGTGCACCCTGAGATGCAACCACTCAGTAATTATCCATTTATAAACACAGCCACCAGCCATGCCACCTTTTTAGTGGTGCAAGGGAACCTTTCTTTGCACAGCACCCAGCAGACCCTCTGTACAACTACCCACCATCTCCAAAGCTGACCCTTGCCAGTGCTAATTTTTTGTTTTGTTTTGCTACAGCATTAACCCTTTCATTGTTTTCTCCACCTAGAGGTCTTCTCTGCTGTTTAACAGCTTTCATTGCCCATCTCAAAGTCCCTTTAATTATAATTTTATGATTTTACTGACTAGCTCAACTCTCAATTATTATGGTCTTAAAACCCCTTTGGTTATGAGAACTGATAAATAGGGTCAGAAGAGACTACTTTTCTTATATTTCACTTCATTCATTTTAAGTGAAACATATATGAAAAAGACAAATGATACATTTTCTATTACCAGATACTAGTTCATATCCTCCTTGCTCTTTCGTTTTTAATATCATCATCAAAAGTGATGCACTTCAATTCATTTAGGCATACTTTGATGATATCGCAATATGCAATTTATAGAAAAATCAAATTAGTTTTTTTAATGTCAGCAGCCCTCTCTGCTATTTCCTCACTAAAAAGAAACATTTAATTTTTTAGTTGCACATTTGCAGCAGTTGTTGTGGGCGGAGAGTCTGCTTAATTATTTGGTTGGGTTCTACTACAATGTACTGTCATGGCAACTGTACTGAGGGCGAATGCATCTGGAAGTAATTTATATATGCCATATTGACTGCAGTAAAATTGTCTTGTACCATTTAAACTTTTTCAGCCACTGAGCAAAGCCAAAGTTATCTTTTTTGAGACCCAGAAGCAGCTTCTCCTTAGTAAATAAACAAACTAGGCAGAGCAACAAGTGCAATCCCAAATGGTTTGTGGTGTTTGGATGCATCATTTGCTGAGTACTTAAATTAGATGTGTTATGGTGGAACCCCAGAACCCCAGTTCTGCTGATGCCCCATGGGCTTTTCACCCCGCACACATGGGAGGCAGCAGTGGCGCCCACACAGGCAGTGTTTGGGCAGGCAGTGCCAGACCTGTCTCCCTGGCACAAGGAGGCATCACTGTGGGATGCCCAGACAAGTGGCAGGTCCTCTTGTCATGGGGATGATGCAACTCCCAGCTGCTCCACTTCACTGCAAACACAGAAACTTGACTGAAATCTGCCACCAGACTCAGGCACACAGTGGCATTACAAGGGGCTGAACTGGGCCACTGATGCAGTTTCAAGCACAACATGCTCAGCCTGCCCTACACAGCCTCAATGGTCTCTCTCCAGCCACCCTGGCATCGCTAACCAGCTGTGCCTGAAGGGTCCCGGCTGCCCCAGCCTGGCCCTGCCAATACAAACAGCTTGGATGCACTCAAGAACTTTGGCTCAAAGCATGTCTTGGTTTTGTAACTTTTTTAACTTTGTAACTGTGAGAAAACAAAAAAAGCTATGCACCCCTGAATTAAATTTGGGCAAAGATAAATTTGTCTAGGCTCATCTTGCTGCTAGGGGGAAGGAAAAATAATAAACCCCCTTTTGAATACCTGTGTGATTGCAGCCATTATCATCTCACTGATAAGATTGCAGCAGCATTTCAGAAGGGCCATCCCTTTGCACTACAGCTGGCAGGTGAAGCAGGGTGCTGTCTGCTCAGCCACCAAGGCCCCGCTGCCCGAGCTGCTCCTCATAGCCCTGCCTGCTGGAAGCAGCTCGCCACGTCCCGGCTGGAATCTACACGCACACATCTAGACAGCCTCTGTTGGGAATAGCCCCAGGTTTCCAGTAGCCCCATGTTAGGAACAACTAGTGAATCGAATCACACCTATGCTGCTGACAGACCGTATTTCTTCAGATAAATTAGCACAGTTACAATCTGCAATATCTAATTATGGCTAATTTCTTGTTCATCTGTCTAGGTACTTCTGACCCTTTTACTGTAATTCTTGAGCACTCGCAACGTGGATCAGAGATTTTCAATAATTTAACTTCAAGGGTCAGCTCTTCAGCTGGTGTAAATCAATGCATTTTCTTTGGCTTTGGAGCAGATCAGAAGGAAGCTGTGTTAACTCCTACAGTGGAGAAAATGGTCTTAATTTACTACAGCATGCTGAAGCCTCGTAGCTTTTGCACCCACTTGCTCCCGTAAGTTCACTGGCTGCTAACAGATCCACAGGTACTGGTGGAAAGAGTTGCAAGTCTTTGTCAGACCAAGTTTTCAGAAAAAGTGCAGAGATTAATACAGAGTATTTCTGGATATCACTCAGCTCTATGCAATTGCAACCAGCATATCTTAACTCTAACAGAAAAAAATTTTAAAAGCATCTAAATCAGGTCCTTAAGACCACCCAACTTGTAAGAAGACAGGGACTCTTGCCTTGTGCCAACCCCATCTAGCAATCAAGGCTGAAGGGTCACACAAAAGGAATTCAGGCTCAATTGACAAAAGATTCTGCTGAGCTTTAATATATTTTTTACCTAGAAGGTTTTGGGCTTTGTTTTTGATTGTTGCTTAGGACAGAAAAAATTGCACAACTAAATGAAAAAGGGAATGGGTGGACACTTAACTAGTATAATCTATTTAAGAAAAAGCCATAGGTGAATATCCACAAAACTTTAAATCAGACTGAAACAAGACAGTGAACTGATGTTTCTTGGCCATGACTTTGGATTTCGAAAGTACACCCCAAATGTAAGTTAAGCAAAAGCCATAATATTTTCTTTTCTGGAAAAAACTGCATCTTTTGCCAACACTTGGGTGGCTCCACAGAGAACTGATTGACTGGAAAAATAGGAACTTATGGGGAGACGCCAGATTTTATTTGCTACAGGAGGTTAAAGGTTCCCTTGAGCACAAAGAAGCTTTTCTTGCCCAGACAATGCTATCATGGTATACATCAGCACAACTAAAGCCTGCAAAGCTCAGTGGAAGTCAAGAGATATCTGGTGAAACTTGAAATTATTATTTTCAATTATTCACTATAGTTTTTGTCCACGGGCACCCACACATCAATACTTGGTAACAGAAACCTACTAAAAAAATAACAGCATCTCTGGTTTCTTTTAAAGTGACATGCACAGCAACTCATACAGCTCTGTGTCTAAGTGCAGAATCCCCAAATATCCTTCCAGCATAAAGGCTGACTTTATCGTGCTGCAGAGATTAGTAATTATCTTATCTGTTGTGAGTTGATGAAATTTCTTTTTTCCCCCCACATACACCCACACTGCTGCTTCCTTCTGATCTGCATTTGTAGCTTAGTTACTCTTTAGCTGAAAGGAAAGAATTTGATAATACCTTCCTAAAAAGATGCCTATGCTGTGGTTGCCTGTTCCAGCCAGTGACAAAGAATGGAGATGGCGGCTCTTGAGAAAAGAAAATAAAGAACTTTTTCCCCAAATATCCCAAGAGAAATAACCTCATCATAAAGGAATTTCTTGCGCATTCCAAGTTAAAAGAAATGAAAAAAAGGAAGGCCAAAGATGTGAAACTAGCTTCTGCTTAATCATTCTCAAAGGATTATAATTTTTAAAGTGCAGAATTATAAACAACAGATGGTGAAACACTCAGCTGAGAGAAAAAAAAAAAAAAAAGGGGTTGGTGAAGGAAAGTCACCCTGATGATGGGTATTTTCTATTTCGATGTGAACCAACCTCTCCTCTTGGTATTTCAGGTTTTGGCACTGGCTGCTGGGCAGACACTATGATGGCAGCCCAGGGGGTGCACGTGGAGCCCCTGGGGCAGGTGGGTGCCTGAGCCACGCCAGGCTGTTCCCTCTGCACGGCCCTCTTGGGAGAAGGCTTGTCCTCGGGAGAAGGCACCGAAGTGATGGGCTGAACATATAAGCAGAACCAGCAGCTGGCCAGGCGGAGATTCAGGGGCCTGTTGGGAGGCGTGAAAGGCCCGTTTCAGGAAGGGCATGGCCAAAGCTTTCTTCAGGCTACAGAAGTTTCTCCGTCGGACCCAATTTCTACTCTTCTTCCTCACAGCAGCTTACCTGATGGCTGGCAGCCTCCTGCTGCTGCAGCGGACCCGGCTGGTTATCCAGCAAGGTTCACGTGGGACCTCTGCCAGCCAGGCCCTGCCAGTGCCAGATGGGATGGCTGGGGTTGGGATCATAGATCCCAGGACGCCGCAAAACCCCCGCCCTGGCCCCCGGCTGCTGGTGGGCATGGACACAATGCAGGAGCCAGGCCTGGAGCAGTGGCACAGCCCTCAGTGGCTTGTGTCCCGCAACTCAGAGCTCCGGCAGTTGAGAAGAAGGTGGTTTCACGGGTTCATCAGCGAGCAGGAGTCCATGCAGACAGCAGGATTTAAAGCAATGAGGCACACTGCAGAACACAAAGGTAAGGGATGTTCCCCCTGCACCGTGTCCTGGCAGACACAAACTGCACATCCTCCTAGGACCGTCCCAGGCATAGACTGCAAAGTGTGTTCTTGCAGAAACGCCTTCCTCCTGGCTCATCATCACCTTCAAACCAGTTCTTCAGTGTACATGCTGGCCAAAGTATGATCCCAACACCCCTGGTCATGCTGAGCTGTAACTTCTTCCAAAAATGTATTTTTATTGATTAAATGGAAGCCTAGACAGTGAAATATGCTTCCCTAATTTAAATAATTTTCTCTTCAAGCAGACACAGATGAACACTCTTAAACTTATTTTCTTTTTCAGAACAGAGAACATTTTAGAAGTGGTTTTTATTAAATAAGTAGCAAAAACCACACAGTACCTTAAGTCTAGATATGCCATCCTGCTGCTACAGCTTTCTAACATACACTAAATTTGGCTTTTGCAAACACATTCTGTTCCTGACCTGCCCTCTCTGTCCATCCCTGCCAGCACACTGCTCCTGGAGCACAGCCAAGGGTCGCACACCTCTCCCCCACAAGTTCCAAACCAGCAGCACAGCGACACAAGAGCCATGGGACCAGAGACAGAGCACACAGACTGGGCCCCCGAGCCTGGGGCAGCCCTGGACTAGCACAAAATGTGGCACTGCAGCTGCTCCATCCTGTGCACCAGCCACCAAGCCTGGTGCAGGGGAGAGGAAAGCTTTGGAATGGGGTCCTGTTCCCAACTAGTCCCCGCTGGGAAGGGCTAGACACGACACCACCAGCTCTCTGCAAGAGCAAGATGCACCTCCACCTTCAGCAAATTCATCTTCTGCTGACATTAGTCACCACTAACTTTAATAAGCTCTTCATGGACAGTTGCAGAAAATAATCACATAGCCCCCCCCAACTCTTGTACCTGTACTTCATAAAACCAGTATTTAATATTCACGAAGTATTTTTTCACTTTTTGACAAGCAGGCCACCCTAGAGGATTACTCCTAGGTCCAAAATCTCTGTTAGAGTGAAATGAACTTTATTTTTCTTGGGGATCACATTATTGTTAATAATGCTTTTCAGTTTCATTTTTCATCATATATTCTCTTCCTGTCCACAGGTTATGTTATTTAATTTTCCTGTGTTATCATCTCAATGCTGCTACTTCTAAAAAGCCAATTTCCTTTTTTCCTTCATATTTTAATGCTTCAACATACTTATATACACACAATTACAGTATAATAGTGGGACTCCACATCATTCTTCCAACCATGTATTAAAAAATTCACTCGATTTTTATAGTATTTTGTTTGTGATAACAAAAAAGAGGCTTAACTTATGCTGCAATCTAAGATAAATATTTATCTATCTTACGCTAAGTAAAGCATGACATATTTTAAGAGATTAATTTGCAATGGAGAAAAAGAGAGAGTTTGATGTGATATCTCAACACTGTTGCCAAGTTAAGACTGAAGTTATCTTTCCATTCTAACTTTAATAACTTTATGTACCCAAAGAAAACTTATTTTCTTAGTATTTCTCTTGCACCATTTCAGTATCAACTAGAAATTTTCAGGAAAACTTGGGAGAAATCCAACAGGATTTCTTGAAGTTTATACAGTTTTGAAGACTGCTGTCTCCTTTGGACATTCACCATGCTTTGTCACCCATGGGAGGGAGATAAGCAAGGTCAGGCCTACTTCCAGGAACCTGTGCAAGGGAAGAGTCAAGATCATCCCCACTGCACATTGCTTACCCCTTCCATAGCACCTACAAAGGTTTGCTGCCAGTGTCTGCAGAGCAGGCAGGACTTTGGACAGATTGCAATTTGATCAAACACAACCCTGCTAACAACTGAGGGTCTTGGGTCACTGCTGGGTAGTTTTTCTCCCCCATCTCCATCCCATGATTCGTTGCCAAACTCTGCTCTTGCCTGCACACAGGCACCTACATGGGATGCTTCAGTGACGATTCGAGGGAGAGGACACTGAAGGGAGCTGTGTTTTATGACTTAAGAAAAATGACAGTATCTCACTGTCAGGAAGCTTGTGCTGAGAGGTGAGTGGTATTTTTTCACTGCAAGTTCTCTTTTCCAACAATAAGTGAAACTAATTTGAAATGGGAAAACATGCATATGTTAAACATACAGCATCGGTGAAAACCGATTCTTCCATACCATCAGGCATGGCACTTGCTTCAAGTAGACTATTTCACTGCTGCCCATTCTGGATGGTGGTTTCACGTGGTGTAGGAGTCAGTGGTTTAACTGGTGTGGTGGCAGAACACAAGCCATGGCTTGGGCACCACAGCAGAGACAGTGAGCCTGGGTCTGCTGCTCCAGCAAGGGCTTCACCTTGGCTTAAGTGTTTGAAAACTGCCTTACTGGATCCAAAATGCTCAACCTTTAACACCAATTAAAAGAACCTTTGAAAGGGGCTTTTCTTCTGTCACTCTGACCAGTACTAAACATGCCTGATCAAAACCTGGAGTGGTAGCTGTGGGTAGGGACAAGGTGGCTGCCCATTTCTAGCAGGCTGTGCTGGTCTGCAGGCCAGTGTCTGGAGCCAGGCAGCAGAAGCATTCCCCATGCATGGGGACAGTCCTGCCTTCCCTCGGGATTAACTCCGGAGCAGAGGGGGTGTCTGTACCCACTGTGTCTGTTTTGTTCCCCGCAGGGCTTACACCTACGCGGGCCTGGCGTACGGAGCAGAGTGCTACTGCGGGAACAGGCTGCCAGCCGCCGCCGCCAAGCCCGAGGAGTGCAACAGCGAGTGCAAGGGGGAGAAGGGCTCGGTGTGCGGAGGGGTGAACCGGCTCTCTGTCTACAGAGCAGAGGAGCCACGGGCTGGAGCCAGAGCACGTAAGTGGGTGCAGCCAGGGCAAGCAGGCCCTATCCCCCAGCAACACCAGCCCCACAGCCAGGCTGGGCCCATGGACTGTCCCTGCTGCTCCTCTTGCTCCATTGGTTACCAGAGCTTGAAAGAGCATAGGGCAGAGATGCCTGTGGGGTACAGGATCCATTTGCCCTGGCTCCCTCCCCAAACTCACCACGCTGCTTACCCCCTTGGAGTGGGAGGGGGCCTGGGATAGCACTGCAGGGCTGCCACACCAGGGTTCATGTGGGGAAGGAACCAAGTAGAGTGCAGAGCAACTACAACAGCAGCAGAACCCCAGCTGAAAAACTACTCCCTTTCACATCCATTGCAGAGGAACAAACCCATATTTAAGAAACAGCTATGGATGTGGCTGCCATATAATGGAAAGGCAGAAAAGCACTCGGTACCAATGCCACCCTAAGCTCAGAAATGATCCCAAGCAAAGTCCTATGTGACTGAAGCAGGAGTTCTGTAGAGGCCAGAGTGGTGCACCAATCTCCTTCTTAAGTGAGAGAAATGAGACCACAGGCTTGCTCTTCCAAGGACTTCTGTTCTAGCAGCAGTTGCGATTTTGTTTCATTTTTAGATGACAACAATTACTCGTCATTCAATTAGCTACCACAGGAGATACAACAGATAAACATTTGGGCCAACACAAAGCACATAAAATATCTAAACAGCTAAGCAATCTTTACTTCTGGTGGCTCACAAGACCTTACGAATGTTATTTGTGGAGAAGAAGCACCAAGGCCTTAGGTTGTGCCAGTATTGATGGTACTTCATGTCTTCTTAAAGAAAAGTCAAGGTTTGTACAATAATCCACCCAACTACATATAAATTATGTATCAAAGGTACATAGACTTAAATTGCTAGTGTCTGACTGACAGGCTGGCAGGTTTCCCAGGACATGCATCACTGTTTAAATCTTCAGCATAAAATATATATATTTTTTTTCTTCACAGGTAAAGGCACCATTTATTTTTTTCTTAAATATTAATGAATTAGTCATGAAATTAGTTTAGCCTGGAGCTAGATTTGTTTTGTTTGCCCTTAGTAATACCCTATATTTGAATGTTTGAAGAATCCCACTGACACAAGCTAGTGCAGAGGCCTCAGAAGTATCAATCACAATGAACAAGTATATTGGAAAGAAACTCAAAAACTGTAGCATTATCTGTGATTTACACCAAGCAATACAGGGACCAGACCTTGCATAAGGCTTCTCCTTACACAGAGTAGATCTAGTGGTGTCTCCATTTAAACCTTCCCAGACATGGAGTTTGCTGGCTGCCCTCTCTGTCTCTCATCTCCCTGGGCACCACGAGCTGCGCAGCTTCTGCCCCACAGGACTGGTGCTCCCATGTCGTGTCAAGGGCAGTGAAGATCAAAGGCTGCAGCCACTGCTGCCTGGGGAGTGCTGCAGCACAGCATGCCCTTCTCCTTGGGGCAGGATCCATCCTTCCCCAGAAAGCAGACAAGACAGTAAACACAGCACATTTCCAGAGTGATCCGCAGGTTCTCTTGAATCTGCTCAGTTCAAGCTTTCTTCCCAACACACTGAGAGATAGGAATTAAATAGTAATGCTAGATTTAGTATGAAGTTTTTCAGGAGCATCCTGAGAAGCCAAAAAAACTGTTCCTTTACTCTTGGGTGCTGTGCTTGCAGTGATCTGTTTCACCCTAACCTGCATAGAGTTACTTTATTTTCACATCTCCTGAGTGATCCTGAAGATAGAGCATAATTTCTAGTAACCGGTTTGAACAGCTACTAGAACAGTATTTTAGCATCTTCTCCTTAGATTCCTCTTGGCTCATGCTGGACAAACTGGGCCCTTTTGACTGGAAATTCATGCAGAACCAAGTTTTTCCTTCAAAACTACATGGCATCTCTCCTGTCATCTCAACACATTTCCCACATCAGTTCTGGCAAATATCATTTAAGGTAGCCAGTGGGTGCAGACCAGAACTCAGAAGACCCAAATTCATTCCCAAATCCACCTTTCTGCATGTTGAGTCATGCTAGGAAAATTCTGTCAATAGTACAGAGTGATGAAGACATCTGCCACCTTTCAAAAGCCCACAATTTTTTTCTTTTCTGCCCAGCCACTCAGTGTTATTTTCTTCATTACCATTAGTTCATCCATGGAAATGCATGGCCTCACTGGAGTAGTGAGTTTCCAGGACAGCTTTGCATTTTTGTTTGGTCCTGCCAGGGAACCTTTCTCTCTTAGGAAGGAAAATTGCACTGCTGCTTGCAACAAGTATTTGGGCCAAATTCTGACTTCAATCACAACAATGCAAAAAATCGAGCAATTCTGCCAAGCTCCATGGCATTCATACAGGAGCAGGGGAGATCAGAGGCTGATGCTAAAGACTTGAAGAAAGCTGCTGTCCCTGAACAGCTTACAAAAGCCTAAGTTTAGATTAGAAGGCTGCAGAAAACTCCCTTGGCCTGAAAAGAAAGCAGGTGGGAAGAGGGACAGTTCAGATCTGCAGGAAGGTGGGTCTCTGTGGAGGCTTTCAGGGCTCATTTAAATTCCTTTCCTTTTCTGGTGCAGATCATGGGAAGCTTTACAGTTTTTATTGAGGTTTTTAAGTCATTCAGGGGAAACCACTTCTTTAAAAGAAAACTGGGACTTGCAAACAATAGCAATGCCCTCCACTGGTAGAATTTAATTTAAACTCTTTGCTGCAGCCCTACTTTCAGTGGTTTGTACAAAGCCAAAGGTGTTTGTTCCTTTCAATACCACAGGATTTGCAACACACTTTTCTAGTGTATAGAATGGCTTCTCTTATTTCTACAGCATTTGAAATAGAGAATTTATTATTTTTAGCTTCTAAACCTAATATTGTTCTTTGTGAAAGAGGTAGGATACTACGGACATTGTTTTCTCAAGAGAAACCTATTTCATATCCCTGCAGGGAGGAATGTTATCTACCGAGGATGTTTTAGAGCTCCAGAAAATATAACAGACATCTTTCCAGCTTCTTTGATACAGCCCAATTTGACGGTGGAGATGTGTTCTGAATTTTGCTCCAAGAAAGTAAGAACAGTTCTCATTTCACATCTTTTCTTATTTTTTTTGTTATTTTAAATTTTAATCTACTAAGGGAATAGCAGAGATTAGTGCCTTAGAGCTTGGAATTTGCAAATGAGTTCCTAAAGGACAAAACTCATCAGTGTAAATACCCAGTGATGCATCATGGTCCAACCACTCTCTCAAGTGGGGACGGTGGGAGGCAAAGCTAAACACAATGCACAGAAAAGCGCTTCTTAGTGACCCGCATGGACCACAAGGAAATCGATATCACTTCCGTGTCACATTCAGACCAAGCCCAGAGCCAGATCAGACCTGCGGGAGGTCTCAGTGGCTGTGCTCACAGGGAGACAAGCTGCCGGGGGGTGGGTGTTTGGCATTGCCATAACAAGTGACAGGATTTAATGCTGAGGTATCTACACACTTTTTTACACCAATGTGTAACTGTGCTGGCTAGGAATATGATACAATTTTTAATTATTTTTTTTTTTCTTTTAAATAAAAGCTGCCAGAGAAAAAATTTAGCAGTTAAGCATACTGAAAGCCAGTGGACTCTCCTGGTACTTTTAAACAAATATGTCTCTCTCCCCACCAGAAGAATTTATACCACTTTCACAATAACATGTGCATTTTAAATCTGACTTATTTTAATTTAAAGTGGCATCATTGTAGAACTCAATGCTGATATATAAGACTACAAGAAAGCAACAAATCAGGTCAGTTGTCTGCTTACTGGCTTTTTGACTAAGGGGAGTAGGGACATGCTAACATTTGTTGTCCTTGTGCACACTCCTGGCTTGAAGCATCACTGAACTGTTGGGGTGGTTGGTTCCCTTCCTCCCCACTCTGATGGGGCTAATTTTTTTGTAGTGGGAAGGGTTCCCTGTGTGGTCAGATTTAGCCTGCAGCAACATTCAGCCTCATGCACTAAACTGAATATTCAGTTACTCTGTCTTCTCGCATCACCAAATTGATTAAAACTATTAAGGCATGAACAACAAATCTTTTAAATTACTAGATAGAGAAAGCTTTTTCCAGTCAACATATCCTGTATATCACCTATCAGTGTTTTAAGAAAGCATCATGGAATTATCTACATGCAGCAAATTGCAGTGAACCACCCATATAACTGCATATAGTGCCATACAAACATGAACACAGACAACATCTACGCATACAAACGTTCAGTAAAGCAGAACTTCATGAGGAATTCTTTCCAAGCTTAGCCATTAATCTATTAACAATAGAAAAATCTTGATTTCTGTGCCAGTTTACTCACAGACAACATAATTTCATTAATATTTACTGATAAAGTGCAATTAAGAGTTAGTATTGGAAAAGAAATTTAGCAGAGTAGAACCAGATATGTATTTTCAGCCTAATCTTAATACTTAATTTTGATGCAGTCTAATAAGGAATAATTAGTGACTGAATGATCACAATCTGTGTTGCTACTGGAGAATGACTGCTCTCCTGTCAGCACTAAACTACCTGCTGAGGCTTATTCTCACAAATTCTTAGGTAAATAGTCCCAGTGACATCAATTCTCACTGAGTTACAGCTTGCAGGACAGACACCCAAGCCTGTCTGTGAACCTCAATGCATAAAAATGCTCATCACAGACCCTCAGATTTCTGTGGCAATCCACACATTTAATGGAAGTGAAGCATTGCGGATTTGTGTGCTGAGCTTGAGGACTAGTCCTGCACTTAGAATTTACATGGTTGCTTAAAGCCATAATCACAGCTTGGGGCACAGATGAATACACAGGTGAGCAAAGTGGATGGCTCTCAATTTTGATTAAATACTGATGGGAAGTCAGGACTGAACATGTTCCTCTGCAATTACCTTGTGCGCTGCCACAGGATGGACCTTCTGAGCAATCAGCTGATTGCAGCGCGTTGCCCCAGCACTGCGAGTCCTGGTGCCATTCCCAGAACTGCTGTCTTGCTTTTGCAGCACGTGTGCTGCCCTCACTGAAACTCTGAAACTCTCCCTTGCCAAGCCTGCTCCCTGTTTTTCCCCTCCCAGCAGCCCCAGCAGCATGAATGCTGTGCAGGCAAAGGTGGCCCCACGCCTTCCTCCTGTGGGGCCGGACATCCCCCACCACATGCGGGGAGGCTGCAGACCAGCACTGCACCTACCAGCCTTCTGTGGACACAGAAACACAGAAAACACATTTGCTCAGGGCTCTTCGCAAAACCTCCAGCCTTTCTGCAAAGTCCATCACTTGCAGGTGCCCCTTGGCATGAGGTACAGTCTTTATTCCAGGTACTGCTTGAGGGCTAGAACACATTAATTTCTCAAACGAAGAAACACTACTTCATTGAAAAGGGAAAATTTCTGTTTGCAGGCAGAAAGAGAACTATTTTGCCCTTGGATCAAGTCTGTAAATAGTTTTTGACAGCATCCTATCTCATTCACTGAGTAAATGTTGGCTATTTGGGCACTGATGGCACATGTGTTGTATTTGACTCCTTATCAGTGGATGAACTCATGGGGAAGAGCAAGCGATAAGCTGCTGAGCAGTCCTGTCACACACTCCCAGACACCAAAGGCTTTTAAAAGGCAAAAAATGCTGATACAGAACAAGTGAAATTGAATGGTCTGCAGTCAACCAGTGAACTTCCTTCAACCATGCTGTGGCTGTGCCAAGCCAGAGTATTGTGAACTTTAAAGCTTTACTAGGCACGTGTCCGAAAACCACTTTTTAAGAAATTGCAATAAGACACTATTAGTGTAAGAAGCATGAGCTTTACAATGATACATCAAACGCTGCTTTGATCTTGACAGTGGCCTTGTGAAGATGTATTTTTCTTTGCATAGCAGCAGCATTCCCCACAGGCAGCTGATGCTGTGGCATTTATGCACTGATCTGTTTTCTGTCCTCCACAGGAGTTCCCCCTGGCAGTCATCCACGGGCGGCAGTGCCACTGTGGATACCCCACTGGGCGCTTCACACTGCACGACGGCACCAACCGGCTGCTCTGCAGCCAGAACACCAGCAGCGAGGCCGAGGGGAAGTACTGCCTGGTCTATCAGACACCGGTGCAAGGTACAAGTTCCAGCCTCATTGAACCAGGGCTAGACCCACCACTGCTGGAAATAGTCCCTGTGCTCCCTCTACATCAACTAAAAGGCATCTAGCTTACAGCAGCCTTAGCCACAACGGCTGGTATCACAACACAGCAGGATGGCCCTTATCTAAATCCTCACCTTGCAATCACACTCATTAATATGCATCTTTCCATCCCCTCATTAAGCAGCACAGTCTCCCCTTGCCCTACAAAAATATAATTATTTTACAGATGGAGAGACCAAGGCAGAGCTGAGGAAGGCACACCCCAAGCCATGCAGCACCTCAGGCAGCCGGGGATGAGGACACCATGCTCTGGTTCCTATCTTGCTCGTTAAACACACACCCAGCCCCCATCTTACACAGCCACTGAGGCAGCTCTGCAGACTCTGATTTTGCTCTACCCATCCTCGTCTAGCAGATTCATCTGCATGCATGTTTCAAAACTGGAATACAAAGCAGAGAGTAAGGCTCCAACCCAAGAAACCATTTAGGTGGCACTGGAAACTTTACCCATGCAATGATTTGCACTGAGTTCAGTGAAACATCTCAGAAGCTTAAAATTAAACAAATTAAGTGCTTATCTGGATTTCAGTAGAACAAGTTTCTCCCAAATTATAAACCTCACAATTTCCACATAATATGGCACATTTAGGATTTCATTGAAGAGCCAACCTGCCAGGCAAAGAGAAGTTAACAAACAGGCATTAAAAGGGCTTTTATCACACCTTGCTGGCAAGTACAATGGTTTGCCAGCTCTTTCAAGAAAGCATTGCCTAACAAAAAAACAGCAAAAACCTCTTCTGAGGATAATCTCTTTGGCCTCTTATGGCTGAATTAATTTGGGAAGTAGCTGACTCACAACTGGACTCAAATTGATTCCCTATATCCGTAAGAAAGAGAAGAAAGAAGCAATAAACGCTGTAATCAAGAGCTGTCAGTGGAATTATTAAAAAGCCACAGTGCTAACAATGACATATCTTTTGTATTCACAGACACCCGCTGCACAGACAGGAAATTCTTAACCACAAAATCCAAAGTGTTTGTTGCTTTGTCAAGCTTTCCTGGGGCTGGGAATACATGGGCTCGCCATTTGATAGAGCATGCCACAGGATACTACACGGGAAGCTATTACTTTGATGGAGCCCTCTACAACAAAGGTACCATAGCCACAGGGATGGACTGGACACAAAGCTCTTCCAGGGCATGAAGCTTTGCTTCCTCACTCTGGCATCCTTCTGTTCAGAGCCAGCAAAGGCTCACACTTTCAGCACGTTTGGTAAAACTGAAACATGTGCCTGGAAGGAGCAGCCTGGTGTGGTGCAGCCAGCAGCAGGCACTGCCCGCTCAGTAGCTGGGGCTCCAGTCAGGGGCAAGGTCCTCTGTACAGCAGACTAGAAGGTGGTTCCCAACCAAATAGAATCAGTAAGCCTTGCAAGTCAAGTGACAGGTCAGAAATAAAATTCAGCCCTGATCCCAAGTCCTGCGTGATGGGTTTAATTAACTGGTACTTTCACAACAGACATATAATCAGACATACAATCTATCTTGTAAAACAGGCTTTAAAGGAGAAAAAGACCACTGGAGAAGTAGAAGGACCATCTGTGTGAAAACACATGAAAGTGGCAAGACAGAGATTGAGATGTTCGACTCGGCGATCCTGCTGATAAGGAACCCGTACAAGTCGCTGGTGGCGGAGTTCAACAGGAGATACGCGGGACACCTGGGCCACGCCACCGCGCGCACCTGGCGGAGCAAAGGTAACGCCGGGATGCAGTGGGGCCCTCGGCATGCGGGGAGGGACACAGCCCCGGGCCTGAGCCAGCACTGCAAACCAGTGCAGCGTGACCCGCATCCCACTGCAGCCACCAGCAGTCCCACAGGCACCCAGCGCCGCAGCATGGGAGCGGTCAGGGTCTGGCCGTGCCCCCCATGGGGAGGAGGGCAGCGCAGCACCGGGGCTGCAGCCACAGCCAGACGGCGCCGCTGCTGCCATCGCACTGCTTGGCAGAGATGACGTGTCCAGGCACAACACCCCTGGGTACAGCCCATTTGCTAAGCTATGCGAGGTGAAAAAAATTTGCTCCTGCCACATGTAAAAACCATTCGAAATCTAATTTAAGATTTGGAAGATCCAATGGAGCATGACATTTCCTGAAGGAAATTTTACAGCACTGCACAGGTGCTACTGCACTGCAGGTAAATAAGGGTAATACCAATAAGGGGACCTGAGATTTGGGATTCCTCGAACACATGAAGAATGCAGAATGTGCCTGCCATGCTTCATGCATCTGACTGGCAAGCTGGATGGTGTGACTACCATTTCTCCACTGAATGCACTGCTGGTTACAGACTCAGCCACAGAGACAAAATCCAGCTTGCATTTCTCCTCGTGCACATTTTGGGCACTACAGCTGCAGCTTGGCAAACCACACAGCACAGGGCTGAGCAGACTGGGGGAAGTGTCATCTGTCACAGTACATTTCTTTCCCAAGTTTGTGTATCAGCTTTCATCAGTCACAACTCAAGACCTATTCATCAAAAATCAGACAAAATAGCCTTTAGCAATGAGCAAAAGTCTGGAGGGAATGGCTTTCCTGTACTACAAGCTGCAAATTGTTACATTTCAGCCACAAAAGCTCTTTGTCCAGCCCAAATGCTTTAGCTAAGACTATCCTGACTCTCAGAAAATTATCACAGACAGCAAATAGAGATTGAGATGTCATTAATGCCCAAAGCAAATGTGGGAAAACAACTGAGTAAATTTTGTCCCAGTGATCTTGACAGGTGACAGTAAATCCCTCCCATGATTCAGGAACAGAAGAATCTTCCTTATTAATCCTATTTCCTTATCCAGTCTCCCCATAAGCAGGCTGGTAAGCATGCATAAAGGTGTCATGCCACAGATTGGAATTCAGGAACACCTGACTCTCTCTCCATGCTGCATTTACATAATAAAAAGGTACTACATTACTATATAACTACATATTATTTTATATATATATGTAAATAAAACAGTCTCTTTATCAGTCTACATTTTAAATGGAGGTAAGAGGGTAGAAAAACTACAGAAGTGAAAGAATCTGAAGTCACATGGCAAAGCATTGCTTAAGGCACTGCAGGGAAGGACCCCACTGCCTGCCCTGCTCATACCCCCAGTCAAACCCTATGCTGGGGCACTTGTTGCCCAAGCCCCTGTGCAGGGTGCCCACCTGGTGCAGGGTGCCCACCTGGTGCAGGGTGCCCAGGAGCCTTCAGAGGGCTCAGCTGGTGTCACCCTGTCACAGGAATGAGGCCAAGCTACAGCTCTGCCCCCTGCCCACTCCCTCCCCCAGGAAGACTTCTCCAGCAACACCAGACCATGCCTGGCAACACCAGTCTTGTTCCACAAGGTAACAATGGGAAAGCTGTTTAAATGCAGCATGACTAAATGTGTCTCATTTTCTGGTCCTCCAGAGTGGCCCGATTTCGTGAACAGCTACGCCTCGTGGTGGGCCTCCCATGTCCTGGACTGGCTCAAGTACGGGAAGCGCCTGCTCATCATCCACTACGAGGACCTGAAGGAGAGCCTGATCCCCAAGCTGAAGGAAATGGTGGAGTTCCTGAATATGACAGTGTCCGAAGACCGACTGCTCTGTGTCGAGAACAACAGGGATGGGAATTTCAAGCGGTCTGGTGCTAAGCAAAAGGATTTTGAACCATTCACCCAGGAGATGAAAGACCTTATCAACAGATACATCCTGACAGTGGATGAAGCCCTAAGGGGAAGAAACTTCACAGGACTTCCCAGAGAGTATGTGCCAAGATGATAGCCTGGTAGCACTCAGCTGTGTTTAAAAATAAAATATTTTTTATCTAAATAAATGAATAAATAAACCCCGGACCTTTACAGCAGTTAAAGCAAAGATAATTATGTAGTCTGCTGGGCAGTGCATTTTTGGGTGTTCCTCAGGGCAGTAAGTGCTCTGGAAGACAAGCAACAAAGGATGGAAATTGGGTTATAAATCAAGGCAAAAAGCTGTTAGTGTCTACCTCCCAGTGCCCCTCCCAGCACAAATGGCACAGAAGGCCCTGGGGAACTCCCCTGCTCCCTCCATGGGCATCCTGCCGCCACAGACCTGCCAGGGGCTGCTCGGGCTTCTACAGCAACTGTGTTGGAAATGGATGTACATAAAGAGGAGGGAAAAAACAAGTCTGAATGCTGACCAACATTTTCATTCCAGCATTTAGGAAAAATATGTGGCTTTCTTTTTAGCACAGCCCATTAGCTTCCTTCTCCTGGGTTTGCTGGTCAGGTCACCTGCCACAGCAGTGTCAAGGGTGTAGGGGGAGAAAAGCACCAGTGGGCAAGGATGCCCCAGATGCTGGGCAGAGAGATTCTTAAGGACTGAGTCCAGGCTTCCCAGCAAGAACAGCATGGCCCAGGGCCACGTGAGCTCCATGGGAAGTGGGGTGGCCGCAGCACTCTGTGGTGAGGCACAGCTGGGGACCCACAGGGGAAGGCAAAACTTCAGCATGGCAGGGGCAGAAATCCCTGAGTGTCGCCAGTCCCAAACAGACCCAAGACCTGGCCCCAGGGGCATGGAGGAGACCCCAGGAGGCCAGGAGAGGAGGGGCAGCCACCCATTCCTGGGGCTTGGCACAAAGTTCTGTGTCCCCATCCCTGTGCCCAGAGAGTCATGGTGGGTCAAGAGAGATGCTAGGGCTATAAGCCACCATGCCCAGGGCACCTGGTGCTTGCACTGAAGTGAGCTCTGACCACCTGGGGAGAGGGGCAGAAGGACATGAGCCCAAGCCCTGCCAGCCCCAGCATGGGCAGGATCCCACTTCCCCTCCCTGGAGGAAAACCACAACAGTCCAACCTTAAGCTATTTATTGCTGCTTGCCACCCTCAGCAATGCCACTTCTTACTGTGGTTCCCTGTGGTTTGTTTCATCCCAAGCTGCAGTGTGGAGGAAGCATGGGACAGGATGTGGGATGCTGGGCCCAGCAGGATGGGGGGTCCTCAAGAGCCACAGAGATGGTTAAACTGCACAGCCCTGGACCTTCCCTGCTGAGAGATGCTTTTGTTCATGTGAAATAAAGGATTTCTTAAAAACGTGAGTGAAAATACCAGTTTTAATAAAATACGACATTCATATGAAGGGAGCTGTACTTCCTCTGTGTGTCATTGGTGCTTCAAAGACAAAAAAAATACAGGACACAGAGCACACGTTGGCCCAGGCCTGTTCCTGTGTGTGCTCTGCACGTGGCCCATCTCTGTGCTCAGGACCACGAGGCTTGGCTGCCCCCAGCTCTGCTCCCCAGTTCCTTCAGCCACATTAAGTTGCATTTGGCACTGTCACACAGTAGAAGTCCTTTGGTGAATGTTAGGTTTTATTTAATTATTTCTTCCCCTTGCATCTGCTTTAATGAAATAGAGGAGAATGACTAAAACTACCACAAAAAAAAGCAGCAATTTCCCTGCAAGGCAGGTTTTCCTACACTCAACAAGCTCTGTGCTTTATCACACTGAGCTTTAATTAACCAGGATGTTTTAGTAAAAAAAAGCTATTGTGCCATTAAAAGCCATATTGATGTTCACTCCACATACATTTTCCTTCTTATTTTGTATTCAATAGTAGCCTATTAGAAATGGCAACATGCATGCAATTCCCTCAAGCTTTCAGTTCAAGTTAAGGCTATCATGAGTCATAAGGAGGCAACCAGGACAACGCAGAGATGCTACATTTTAAAATAAGAGTTCAACACTTGAATTTTTTCAAGCAAACAACCATTACAATAAACAAGCAGGTATCAAGATTCTTGATTGAACTGCAGCTACATTTTGTCCTGCTGCTCCTCTGGACTCAGGTTACCCCAACTGCTCTCCTGTTGACTCAGGAACTCAAAGCTAACCACACCATCAAGGTCAACCAGCACTTTTCTTAAAGACAAAGGTTGCTGCACTTCTCCTTCCAGAATAGCCACTGCTGGGAACTACAGGGAAAGCACCACGTGCATGTATGCTTGCTAGAGACACACTGTAGTGGCACAACACCAAGTTTTGCTAGAATTGGCTTGAAGACAGGAACAGTGAGTCCCTCTCCTGCTGTCAAAGCCAAGGTCCTGTGAAGCTATTACATGTAGGTGGGAGACAAGCTCTCTGTAGAGACCAACCAGGTCAGTAACTCAATTAGAGACCTACTTACTCCTCAATGCATTTGCACTCTTCTAAAGGGCGGGGTAGGGGGGGGAGGGCGGTGAGGGTGGGAGGGTGGAAAGAGGCAAACCTTACTAGAAATAGAGGACATAAGGACGTAATAAGAGTTTTGCTTCCTGGAAACCAACTGCAAAATAAAGCCTTTAAAGCAATACTAAAAAAGCATGGACGTCATCATCAGCCTTCATATGCAATTCAGCCATTCTGCACTGCTTTATTAATTTTCCATTAAACTCATTTCTACTAAAACCTATTATTCACTGCTAAGACCATGCCACTACTCTACTACAGCAACATTAACCTCCATAAAATAATTAAAGGATGGATTATCAGCATGAGACCTTATGTGTCACCTCTCTGGAACCTAATGTTTCTTTCAATGGCCTAGAATATAATGAGATGTTCAAATATAGAAAGTTGAGCTCCTGCTTTTCTCAGTTGTGACATTTATTCAGCCAGAAAGATCCAACTTTTCCACTGCATTACTTATCAACCACTTTTGACCCTGGGTACTTGAGAGTAATCTTCAAGGAAGTTATCCCTTTGAATCTCGTTTTTATATTAGCATTTAATTACTCTGGCAAATTTCCAGATGCACAAATTATAATGGACTGTAAATCAGCTCTTCCCCTTTGAACCACAACACCTCATAGGAAGGCAATTTTTAGCTTTCTTCATATTCAGACCCACATACATGTCTCAGCATTTGCTTTTTCCTTACAGCATCTATTTTTAATTAATGGTTCTCAGAAGTCTTTCCTATTACAATACTCAGCCTAACACCTGAACACAGTGGTCCAGTTTCAATCTGCAAGGCTTTGAAGTGCCATTTTAATGATATTTTTGTTACAAATATAGCAACTCACACACGTGTCCAAGAAAATGAAAGAAACTTCTCAGATAGTATATAACTTCTACACACAGGGGCATGGTCATCATCAACAGATGCCTATTTTCAACCAAGCTATCTGTAAGAGCTGCAAGAAGAATGGTTGCTCCTAGTCATATGAAATGGTGTCAAGCACCATTTACAATTAAATGTGAGATACAATTAAAGTGCACTATTAAAATGAAACGTTTTATGCAATATTCAAGATGGTGTGATAGGCTCAAAGATTTTAATTTAAATCAATTCTAATTAATGTTATTTTTTTCATCATGCCAGTCTTGCCTCCCTCCCTGTGAGTAACCAGAGACCTGTGCAGGTTCTGGAGCCCGCCCATCTCCTCCCTGTGCAGGGGAGGGTGGTCCCCAGCCACCAATTTGATTCCTGCCCATGCTGGAGACACCAGGTGGGATTTTTCTGAGGTTCAAGGCTGACCAAAGCCTTAGCCAGAGCTCCTTCAGGTTCTGCCCCAGCACAATGAACAAGCTCTGGTTGCCCAGCTGGTTACTGCTGCTGCCTTCCACCAGTGCCAAGCACAAAGCACTGAGTAGTGCAGCCAGGAGATGACAGCTAATTGTAAGTTTTCACAGTTATTGAAGAACAGAGTCCTTTTCTCACGTAAACTATAGTGAAGAGATCTTCCAAGGTCAGTTCTGCATCAGTGGGGCAGGTGAGAATAAATACCACATAGCTGGACCACTTCTGCAGATATGTATTAACAGGATTACAAGCAATTATCATAAAACCACTGCAGAGGCAGAACAAACAATCAGAGCCTTTGGTTTTTTTTAATATATGTTGAAAGTCTGCATTAACCTATAATGCTTCTATAATAAAGCACTTAGTGTTGCCTTAGCTAAATTATACAGTCCATTTCATAGAAGAAAATTCATGTCACAATGGATAAAAATACAGAAAGGGGAATTATTTGAAGGAAACACCTTGCTAATGAAAAGAACATTTCTCTGACTAGAAGGGTTATAAAGGAGCTGGCTGAAGTAAAATTGCATCCTTCATGAAGCATCAAATATGCTGGAAAATAAAACAAATCTTCCATACTGACTTGCCCTATTAAAATGATGTTCTGGAAAACTGTTTAATGTGTGCAAATACATGCACATGTGACCACACAGGCTCTTGATCCCATGTCCTCTGGAAAGGACCAGAAGGTTTGTCCCTGCCTCTGCCCCTGGAGCTACCACACCACATGGGGGTGGGCAGGGCCAGACCCCCCACAGACACCAAGGTGAGCATAGCTCTGGCAGTGTCACACAGAGCAGCCCCATCGCAGGCACCAGGATGGGGACATGGCTGCAATGGAGTATTTTATGTTAAAAGACCATGCAGAACATTTGTTTTCTTAGTAACTGTGTTTCTTTCACAGTCACTCATTTAAATGGATTCCACTGTGCCCTGTTCTATGCCTCTCTTCATTCCAGCAGAGACTAAATTAAGCTTTGAAGTTTAGTAAGAATTCCCAGTGGCATAAGACTTCAATGCTATTTCCTGAATCCTGGAGAATTAAAGAAAGGAGGAAAGCAAAAGAAAAGAAACCACTCTTCTCTTTTATTGTTTTCTACAGCTTGATCCTGAAATGACAGACTTTGAAAATAACCTCAGCGCCCAACTTCATGCATTATTCATCTATACTAAAACGTTAATATAATTTTCAAAGGTTAAAATAAAGCTCCCTTCCTATACAGGTTACAATTAATATTTAATATTTTGACACAGCAACTTACATCATTAATATTAA